ACCAAAAAACGCAACAGTTGGGAACTTTTAGGACTTATTGATGAGCTGTAAATTGCATACGAACAAAAGGTTCGTAATACAAACCAAAACCTTCGTACGCCTTCGTAGCTTACGAAGGTTAATGAAGCGTTGAATCACGAACTAATTCTTCGTAAGCTTACGAAGAATAGTTCGTTATGCAAACCGGTTGCTCGTAAGAACCGTCCTAGCCTTACACAAACAATTACTGCAATACTTCTGCAAACAACTATTCTTTGCTTTGCCAAGAATTTTGAAGCGTTGCAAAATAACTTCGCATTCCGAACTGAATGATTCGTTTTGCAAACTAATTCTTTGCACCTAACGAAGAAATTTGTTCGTAACGCGGCAAAGAAATAGTTCATAACCTTGCGAACAAAATTTCCTCGCAACTTACGAAGAAAATAGTTTGCAATGAAAAGAAAATAGTTTGCAATGAGAAGAAAATAGTTTGCAATGAAAAGGAAATAGTTTGCAATGCAAACTTTCTTACAATGCTTCAAAATTCTTTACAAGAATTTTCAAGTGCTGTTCCCCGAATTGAGCTCTACAAAATCATGTCGTCGTATTTTCATATTAATTTGTTCTACACTTCAAAAATCACAAAAAAAATACAAAAAAAATTATTTTTTTAAAGTTTAACATTTTTCGCGGCTGATTCGTGGGCAAACGCGTAACTAGATCGAAAAATTTATATTTTGCAGATCAATACTTACACTCCTTATGCCATGCCCGAGCCTTCAGGGGGCACATTGGTGAAAACATCCCCTAGAGATGAAGTCCGAATGCTGCTTTTCTCGTCAGCGACGATTGCCGATGAGGACCTCTATTCCATCCCAGAGAAAGTAAGGGGCTGCCGGCGCATCTTCAAACGCAAAAAGGGCACTGCAAGGTATGTTATAGATGCGCATGCGCAACTCGCATAGCTGGGACTTTAAGTAAGATTACTGTAACATTGAAATATATTTTTAAAAACATTTTTGCAGCTATACACCATCGAAATGTATTTTAGATATTATTTATAGGGAAGTGGAAAAGCGCTGCAGATGTGTCCCACTGACGGTCAAAACGGCATTAGCAAATGTTTCAGGTACGTACTTACATTATGTAGTACTAATCATTGACAAAACAACAAAGAGAGGGTAGTAATGGCATTTTTGTCAGTGGCACTTTTTAGCCCGCTCTTCTGCTTTGAAAACGCTGTAACAGGGAACTGATGCCATCGTCCCTGTGAGTGCTTTTCCGGTTTCCCGAGTAGGACGTGAGCTATAGGTTTCAAATTTTCAGGGTGTCATTGATGTCACTCCTGGACAACGAAACTGTTGGTCCAAATCCTAGCAACTACCACCGCGGGGGAGAATGTGTCTATCAAAGAAATAGGGGCCGGATACAGTAATTTTTTATGGGTGCCTTAGGGGAACCCGGGAGAGTAGATTCCCTTGGAAAATCAGTATTAATCTTCGGTATAGTCTCCTGAGGTTCACAGGCAATCTTTCTGACAGAAAATTTCATTTGCTTGGCTCCATTATCGTTTCCCGCTTGACACCGGATGACTATTCGGGGCATGAATAGTGTCCAGTGATCCTGCAACGTTTTCAGTCCTTTTTCGGTCACCTTCGAGTCGAGAGTGCGGTCAGTTGCAAAAATGCGATCCGACTGATTTTTATCTCATTTTCGCTGTAGTTCGAGTGAACTGTGACTAAAGCTGTCTCAAGAGGGACTGCACGTCGTTGGTGACGACACCACGTAATCCAACTCGCTCTTGGCGGCAGTCAAAAGTCACACGGACTTGGAGAATGCAGTAAAGTCGACCGCTCCAGGCAGATGAGTACACCGTAACGACCGTCGTCGGCAAGTGACTCACTACAGCTCCGAACGTTGATTGGCGATCGGATGCCATCTGGTCATTTTCGCGCGTTTGAGCCAGGCGAAGGGCAGTCGCTCATCAAACGCCCCCGCACTGTAAAATGCTTGCAAACTATATTCTTTGCAACGTTGCAAAGAATTTGTGAGCTTTGTATTGCAAAGAATTAGTTCGTATTGCAAAGAAGTTCTTTGCAAGCTGGCAGAATCCTTGCAAACAATGTGTTTGCATTGCAAAGAAATAGTTTGTAAGCTTGCAAAGAACTAGTTCGTATTACGATGCTTGAAAATTCTTTGCAAGCTGCAAAGAAAAATAAAGTTTGCAATACGAACTTATTCTTTGCAAGCATTTTGCAGTGCGGAGACCGACGCGGGGCCCAGCCTTAAATGTAGTGAACCGTACAGGAGGGAAAAGGGAAGTCCGTAGTCTAGTGCCGATTAAATTGCAGACAGCAGGGTATTTTTGAAGAACACAATGTTTATTCATTGACTGAAAAATCAAAAACATTTTATTTTGCAGCGTTCACATTACTCTACCTTTTTTTGGTTTGGGGCCACAGACAAGAACACTTTTTCATGGATATTCATTTTGACACGAACAGTTTTCGAAGAGTTGATGGGGATAACGTCGGTTAAAGTTGTGGTATCAACCAATACATGAGCAGAGTTTACGTTGAGATTATCAATGGAAAAAAAGTTCCGTCAAGGCACGGATCGTGGAAGCAAATGATACGTAATGATCAAGCCTTGCTTTATATTATTTCAGCACAGGAAGTGGAGGTTTCAAAGATCTTTCACACCAACATTTACAGAATTTATAACTTTGACATAGCTATAGGATGAAATATTTCCCCGGCCAGTCAAAGTCGACCGAAAAGTGCAGAAAACCAGTAGAGTGGCGTGGATAAATGAGTTAATTTTTGTTATGGGCGCCAGGGAGTAAACTCCCCTCAAATAACCAACGAAACAGCAGCGTTAAAACAATGACAATAACAATTTTATTTACGATAAATAAAATCTGAACAGAAAAAAACTATTGACTGTACATACATAACTCCAATACTACATCAACAGAGCAACATATTCAATCTCTGAATAGGACAATGAACTTTACTAGTTACAAAACCAAAACGGCATTAACACCGAACAACAATTGTGCTTCTGTTCCGCAAAAGAAATACACACTCACGGGGGAGAGCCCTCACGCCCGGAAGCAGCCCCGGAGCATGTAAGTATGACTGCACTGGAGTAGGAACTAAGTACGTTGAAATGTGCGCCGCGCTGGCTGGCGAAGCTATCTCCTCTGAAGCCAATGTGCTTAGAAATCTCACCCTCTCAATTTTTGAAAGCCTATGGTCTACTGCAACTTATGATGCCCGCGTTTTGAGTGTAGCATCATTCAAACCGGAGCTACGACGCCTGGAACGCCGCAGACCCGTTTTAGGCCATCTGCCACCCGTGAATGTAGACAGAGACAGACAGAGTGAGGGTCATGAATGTCCATGAAACAATAACAGTTTGAGACTGCGACGTTCAGGGGCTTCACGGTTGTGTACAAAAAGAAGGACTTGAAGTAAAAACTTATGTAGTTCAGTGGCCCCTTTCGAAGAAACGTACTGACGGATCCGTCATACAGACGACAAAAAGACAATAATAGATAATCTATTAGGGCACTGATGTAATGTAGATGACGACGGGGAGCGAACTTTTTCTATCAAGGACAGTACGGGTTCATAAAAAATAAAGATTCACAGGGGCTATTTTTGACCTTGTGACTACAATACAAACTGCCATGGATAAAAACCGAAAATGTATAGCAATTTTTATTGATCTTCGAAAGGCATTTGATACTGTCAACCATGAGATACTGCTAAAAAAGATGTTCAACATAGGTATCAAAGAAAAAAATCTAAACTGGTTCAGAACATACTTGTCAGAACGACCTCAACAAGTCAAGATTGGAAAGTGGCTAAGTGACATACTTTTTATGATGTGTGGAGTCCCACAGGGATCAGTCCTTGGGCCCATCCTGTTCTTAATTTATATTAACGACATTGGAAAACTCAAGCTGACTGGGAAAATCCAACTATTTGCAGATGATGCCGTGATAATTTACGAAGAAAAGGACTATAACAGCATAGAGAAAAAGACTGCAGAAGATCTCCTGATGCTATATAACTGGTTCGCAGCAAATAAACTCAGTCTCAACATCGAAAAAAACAAATTACATAATATTTAAGAAAAAATACGGACCAGAAGTATCACTGCAATTAGAAATCAATAATGAAAAATTGACTCAACTTAAACAAGTTAAATACTTGGGTATTGTATTGGATGAAAACCTCAACTGGAAAAGTCACATAGCCAAGCTATCAAGAACCCTTAGAGCAACATCGAGATTGATCTTTAGAATGAGAAAGATTTTGAATATCAACAAGCTAAAAGCA